TCAAGGTCCAAATCAGGAGCAGAAGGAGACGGAGCACGAGCAAGGAACTCAGGACCACGAGGGGTGCACCCACACACTGAGACAATGGGGATGTTCTATCGGGAACTCACCAAGGCCAGCTGGCCTAGGTCTGAAAAAGCATGGGATAAATCCGGACTCGCTGAACATAGCGGACAATGAGGAATACTGAAAACTCAAGAACAATCGCAGTGGGTTTTTGATCCTACTGCACGTACTGGCTTTGGGGGAGCCTAGGCAGTTTGGATGCTCACCTCAGGAGACCTGGATAGAGGTGGGCGGTCCTTGGGCTTCCCACAGGTCAGGGAACCCTGATTGCTCTTAGAGCAGATGAGGGAGGGGGACTTGACCGGGGGAGGGGGAGGGAAAGGGGAAGCAGTTGCGGGGAGGAGGCAGAAATCCTTAATAAATAAATAAATTTAAAAAAAAGAATTCTAAACACTATTATCAAAGGAAAAAGACACATGTTGGCAGAGGACAACCACCACCTGCCACCAGCTCAGCAACAATCCAATGTTTATATCCCTGCTCCAAGGCAGAGAAGAAGCATCTACTACACAGCCTGCTATGGATACAAGCTACTCCCCAGACTGAGATCGTTAGTTCTCTTCCCCTTTCTTTTCAATAAGTCTGTTTGTCTTTTTCAAATCATGTGGCATCTTTTTAACTCATTGGAGACTACATGTTAATAAGAAGAGACCCATGAACTGAGACATGTCCTTCCCCTAGTAAATCCAACAGTTCATCAGACTGTTCTTGTTACTTCATCCATCTGCTGCAAGGCTGTGCACTTGGGGATGACCAACTCTCATTTCTATTCAACAACCCTATGTAGAGATCAGGGATCTTTTTTACTTACTGTTCTATTGCTGTGAAGAAACACCACAACCAAAGCAACTTTTACAAAAGAAAACATTTAACTAGGGCCTTGCTTACAGTTTCAGAGGATTAGTCCACAGTCATTGTGGGAATCAGGCAGGCATAGTGCTGGGGCTGTGGCTCAGAAAGCAAAGAAAAACTGACTGGACCTGGCATGGGCTTTTGGAAGACCACCTCCAGTGACACCTTCTTCAACAAGGGAACACCTTCTAATCCTTCCTAAATGCCTTCTACTTGCAACCAAACATTTAAGTATGTGAGCCTATGGGGATCATTCTCAATCAAACTACCACAGTCTCCATCTCTAATTATTACTGTTTAGAGATGATTCTTCCTTACATTGGTAACACTTCACCTTCTTACAGCACTGGGAACACTAGGCAATCAAATAAATAAAGCCATTCCTTGGATATAAAGATATTGCTCAGGTCCAAAAACAGAGTAACCAGAGCTGAAAACTCAATAACAACGTTTCTAATAGACAAGTCAACTGCTTCTTCAATGACTACATTTTCTTCCTACACAGTCTAAAGTGACTGGAAAGGACATACCATGTCTTTATTTTCTTCTCCTGGGTTGTGTAAAAGTTTTCTCTTTATTCTGGAATATTCATCTTTGGCAAACTGAAGATACATGATTCTTAATCTTCACAGAACTTACCTGGTGATTTTTATCCTTACCAAAATCTGCTGCCTACTTGGCAATTAACATTATTCTACAGTGTGGCTGTAGAATGTCACTCATAGAGAAAGTAAATGTACAAAAATCCTTTAGAATTTTTTTCTTCTTTTCTGTGTATATCTATTCACATATGAAGCTAAACACACAACTTCGAGGAGTTAGTTCCCTCCTTCCACCTTTACGTGGGTTCCAGGGATCAAACTCTAAGGTCAGTTGGCAGGCCTGCATGACCACTACCAATATGTTCTGAGCCAACTTGTCAGCACCAAAATATCTACACAGAAACCCAGGGGAGATAGATATTAGAGCACAGAGAACCAGACACTATTGAAGGGAAGCTTCTCAATTGTCTTTATATTTTTGAAAACTTACCAAAAGATACAAATATCCTTTACATACAAAGGTAAAAAATACTTCAGGAATGAAGAATATCGGCTAGAATGGTATATTGTTGATATAATATAATGGAAGGCATACCGAATTTAATGTAACCTACACGGTAATTATAATAATTAAGATATAAATAATTATTTGATATTGGATGGGTCATTTATTTCATATTCCTCTTATAACACAGAAGAGTATGATAGGAGTTATTGTCTATGGCATAAATGAGACATGATGTTTAGAACAAAATAACTACCAAACAACAAAATCTGTTACATAGTTTTCTCTCCTACATTCCCCTTCTTTGACTCATTTAAATGTCGTTCTGAACCTTCTGACTAAGCTGTTGAAATTCACCTGAATCTGATCACAGTCCGGGGCCTGCAAAAATTTAAACCTGACTTTTCAAACTGTCATCTGCTAATTACAAACTCATATTTCTTGCTTCTTTTCTTTTCTTTTCTTTTTTTCTTTTTCACCAGTCTCATCTGAATGACTGTAGCTAGTGTTAGTTTCAGGTGACTGAACCCTGTGGCAGACAAGCTATGTAACCTCCTCACCCTGATGGGGACATTAGGAAGAAACCTTGCTTCACTGACAAGGACACAGAAACCTAGAGAGGTTATGTAACTTTCTCCAGATGGTGAACCTTGGGTCTGAAATAAAAGGAAATTCCATACAAATAAACAGAATGGACAATTGGCAATGAGATTATCCTCAACCAACAGAAAAAAAAAGGTATCAGACAAAGACTAAATGATTTTCGATTACTTTTCAAGGTATTCAAGAACTCTCTGCATTTCTATTTTCCATAAAAGATGTAGTGAATAGTATCGTGCTTACTTTCACACCACTGAAAACATTTCTCTGACTTATAAAGCCTTTAGCAATAAAAATATTATTTCTATGTATCTGGTGTTCCAGTCATGGAAACAAGCGAGTGGCGCCAAGCCGAGATGAAAAGCGTTCCCTACCTACCTACTTCCTATGACAGTATGGAAAAAGTGATACTAAATTTTATTACTAGGGTAGACATCTATTTGTTCTGTATGACTTAGTTATATGTTGGCTTGGAGACAGAGGTTAAATGACATAATTCCCGGCTGTTCTTAGGTTTGGCTACTTACAACAGAAACTGCAAATTTTTGTGCCTGAGAGAAGTCAGCAGCTTATCAGGTTCTCACAATGAAAAACACGATGAAGGAAGTTCAAGGCTGTGAAGGCGCCTCCACAGTCACCTGGAGACTTAACCATGTTTCCCTTCCTCCTACCTTTCCCGTGAGTCTGTGCCTTAGAGCTGCTGTGACAAATGCCACAAACGTACTGGATTAAAGCAACAGCGATTTATTTTTCCCTACTTCAAGAGACAGAAACCTGCTGTAAGTTTCACTGGGACTGAGACAAGAAGAGTGCCTTCCCCGAAAGCTTCTGGAGAAAATGAGTGTTATAACACTTATAGCTATTGATCCTATGAGCCTGCCTTACCTAGCAGACACACTTTCTATGTCTGCTTTGCTCTTCTGTCTGTGCTAGAGCTCCCTCTCATAAGAACACATGTGGTTATATTTAGGGTCGTCTATGGTTTGAATGCCCTCTCCAAACTCATGGTGAATTTTAAATGCCGTTGAGACAACACCAAGACCAGGAACTGATTTAAGAAATGGTTCAGTTACAGAGACGCCACCCTTATGAAGGGATCACATCCATTGTCTTGGAAGACAGTGATGTGAGAGTGGGCATATGTCTAGAATGCTTGCGTGCTTCTTTGTCTTCCAGCATGGAATGGTTTTGCATGGAAGACCTAGACAGTGTCATGGTCTTGGAATTCCCAATCTTCGTAACTGCAATCCACATCAACTTCTGTTGTTCTAATTTACCCAATTGTGATATTCTATTAAAGAAATAGAACATAGGCAAGAATAGGCACTCTGAATAATGCAATACAATCTTTTTTCTAAACATGCTTTATTTAATCCCACCTATGAAGTTCTTGTGTTCCATATAAAGTGACACTCACAGGTTCCAGGGCCAGCATATGAATACTGGGCAGAAGAGGGACATGGAAAAGTTTATTTTTTCAGCCAATTGCAATGGATTTTTTACCCAGTATAAAACCTTGTTTACATTCCAACAGTCAGAGGTCAGTTACATGTCCATATTTAGCTGTGAGTTATGTTGGAAACTAAGGTCTTTTTTTTAAAAAAAAATCATAATCTCAGTTTTGTTAGGAGGAAGGGAGAGTGGGCATTTTAGGGCTGCTAGCAATGTCTGTTACCATCTGTCAATTTTAATACCTGCTTGCATGTTTCTTCATAAACCTCTGCTACTCTGTCTTGCCTCAAGAGCAAAATATCTAAAACTTGAGTCTCAGATCTCTTAGTTGTTGGATCATCATCATCTTACGAGTAAGACTCTTTGTGTTTCAGCTATCTGTTCCCAAACACCAAAGCATAAGGTATCTAAACATAGCTTCCCTGGACAGTGGCACTCTCTTGAAAGCTGCATCTGGTTGAACAGGAATAATGGCGACTCCCTAGGTGAACAGCAAGTGCTTCTGTTACTGTGGTGTGCTTCCAGGGATCCCTCTGCTTTTATCCTCCACAGAGCCTCTGAAGCAATTAAGACCATGCGCAGTTCGGCCTAACTCAAATAACCTTTCTTTTGCCTGTAATGGCTTAAAACCATTAGGATTATTTGGGGGATTCAGTAGGATTTGGTTTGCTAGATACATAGTTTCTTCAAGGACCTGGAAGGCTTCCACTGCATTTGTTTCTAGGCCATCCTATATATCGGTAACCATAGATAAAAGCCTTGTAGTACCACATGTTTTAAAACTGGAGTCTCTTAGTTATAGCCTCTGAACTCGTTCTCCCTTCTCTCCTGCTTTAGATGGGCCTTCTCAAAACAATTTGACAGGCACAGTTGGAGTGGGGCCCCACCACCCTTCTCATCTTTACCACAACTGGCTGCTAAGATGGAAGATATTGGGAAATGTGCTTATTTATTATCCATGAACTTTTGCAGTTTTTACTTACAGTTGCTTCACTCTGGGATGTAGTTCCATAAGACCAATTATAGTAATTCCATCAATAATTATTTACTTGAATATAAGATTACATGTTGTAAAAGGTTGTTTGTTCCTGGCTGCTCAGCCCTGAAATAATCACAAAGAAACCATATTATTTGCAAAACTGTTTGGCCAATAACTTAAGCATATTTCTTACTAACTCATATCTTAAATTAACCCATCTCCACTGATCTGTGTATCACCACAGGCTGTGGCTTACCAGGTAAAGTTCTGGTGTCTGTGTCCATCGAGGCCACATGGCTTCTCACTGACTCCACCTACTTTCTCCCAGCATTGTGTTTAGTTTTCCCCATCTAGCTCTGTTCTGCTAAGCCACTGGCCAAAACAGATTCTTTATTAACCAATGGTATTCACAGCCTACAGATCCCACATCAGTAATGTACTCTAGAACCAGACTGTCTAGCTCAAGTCAAACATACCGTGTATTCACTATGCAACTGACAACTTCTTCACTTTTCTGCTCCTCGTGTAAAATGCAATTAAAATAGTATTTACTTCATTGTTTTGCCTAAGAATTGTGTTTTTTTTAAGTACACAAAATACTAAAATGGTATGTGGCACATTGTATGCACATTTGGGTGGAAATAACTGCCCATACATAACTGAAATTGGTAGATTCTTGCCAACATTTGCTGTAAGCACATTCAGGTACCAATGTTTGAGTTCATTCTTTTTGCAGATTCATCTAAAATACCAAAAAGTAACCAGTATAAGACAATATGCTGACTCATTCCTGAAATTTCTTAATCAGTAATCAAAGTATGTATCCTGCCCTGACATCATGGTAACAGATGGTTACCCTACATATAACACAGCGTACCAAAAAGTTTTTCACCTGGACCTTATATTACCTAAGTAGAACCCATGATTTAATCATTATCACTACCAATGACCACTTCTAGGCACCAAATAACTTATTAATTGAATTTTGATATGTCTTCTCATGATATATGTTCTTTGTAACTAAAGCGTAGATATGATGAACTCTCATTTCTTTTTGCATGGAAGTCTGAACTGGGGTAGTTATAGAAAGGCATATTCATCACCTGTCAACCTGGGAAATGAATTGCCTCTGCATTTCTGTGCTACCATCAGCAGAATGCTTTCCCATTCATTCACATAGTTCAGGATGACAGGCCGCCACCATGCTTCATGCTAAGCTAAGGGAAGGAGGGAAGGAAGAAGGAGGAGAAGCATGTGTGCTAGGAAGCTGAGCACACATGTAGAGCTTGTTGCAAGGCCACACCTTGCAAGGGAGTTTGGGAAATATGGTCTTGAGCTGGTGGCACTGTGCCAAACCCCAAATCAAACTCTCTGTTATCATAGAAGAAAATGATAACGAGCCCTGCGGAGACAACCAGAAGCCTCTGTTACACTCACTGAAAATGATTCTTTCTCTACTGTAGCAAATGTCTGTTTAAAATAATGCAGTGTATACAGCCTATTCAATCTCTACCTCTTTCCCTAATGCAAGAAAAAGTAAAACCAGTGGGTCCATATGCATTCAATAAAGAATAAAATAAAAGCCAATAGCATATATCAGATGACAACCCTGTCTCAGAATAGTTCACGGTTTTTCCTTAAGATATAATTGCATTTCCTGAAATTGGAATCAATTTGCATGTGCAGATTTTGAAAATAGAGACCCAAATATTTGTATATTCGTGTAGCATTTGCTTGACGTAGATTCATTGTATTTATTGAGATACCTGTTTTAACCCTTCCATGCTTTTCCAACTAGTCAAGAGAAAAGCAACACTTTAAAAAAGAAAATACTTAACTTGACACAAAACCAATCTTTTGTGTTACTTTTGAATGTGTAGAAAGAGCCTGAAAGACCGACGGAGAAAGAGTCTGGAAGAATATCTGTTATCCTTTACACTGTTTAGCTTTTCTTTGAAAAGCAGAGAAGAAATAAAAGAAACAAAACCTCAGTGCTCATGGTTTTACAGATGTCACAAAATCTCAAGCTTAAAAATCCCACAAAGCGTTTAAGAAGGAAGAAAAAGCAATATATAAATGATTTGCTTTGTTTCTTTATCGAACAACTTTGCTGCCTTGGCGCCTAAGCTTTTTTGGGGGGAACTTTGGGGGTTGGCTGCATTGTTGGTTTTGTTTTCAGTGATGTTCAGCATTTTGTGCCCTGATAGGAATTTTAATGAATGGGAAACAAAAAACACTGGTACCAAGCTGAGCCCAGTGGATGAATCAGGTAGGCGTGTGTATCCATTGCACCAATCGCTGGCCATTTTCTCGTGCCACTGTGGCCTAAATGTCAGTCAACCAGACATGTCATCAGAGAGGCAAGTTTTCAAAAGATACCAGACACTTTCCAAACATATTTCTTTACAGGAATAGAAACAAAGCTAGTTTTGCACGAGGGCACAGTAGTCTGTGGACAAACGTTCTGCATAGTTCCTTGGGGACTCAGTAAATGTGCCAGCAGGACCAAGCCACTCCAGACATGGCAGCTCCTCTGGGCCATGCCTCTCAGTTATGTGAGGTTTGCTCAAGAGCTTCAGTGCAGCTGTGAGGAACTATCCATGTCCTTTTTTCAGTCACCCGAGTTCATAAATACAGCAGCAACTCATCCGTTTCCCCCTTTCATTTTCAGAATATTAATGTAGGCAGCATGTGTTTGGAACTTTTTAATACAAAAGGCTTAACCCCCTCCCCCAAAGGGGAGTTCCTGTAGGTCAGGTAGCACCCCATTCCTTTTGAGGGGCTACTCATTATTTCTGTCCTACAAACTCATGCTTAACCATGTCCAGGAAGGATCCTACCTGATTCCCTGATACTTCTTAACCTACCTAACAGTCCTTCCCTCATCCAAAGGTACTTTCATTACACCAGGAAAATAAACTAGAGTAGGCCCCTTTCTGTCTCAACACTAGGCCTCTCCAGGCTCCCCATCCCGAGTTCTCTTAAGGTTACAGTCACAGCCTTCATGATGCCCATTCTTCATATGTATCACCGTGTTTTCCTATCCCTAGCGGTGTATGGCTTGGCCACAGAAACAACCCAGTTAAATAAAGTAATTCCAAGATCATTTGAAGCAAAGGAAGTCAGACCCACGTGAAAAAGCAGTTCGAGCAATAAATACAGGGCTTGCTGAGGTATCAGCAATTACACAGTTAGTACTCCTTACCCATGTTTAGTATTTTTGTCCCTATTTACAGCCATGACTGCTCTTTAATCCAAGCTTGCTTTTTGTGTGTGTATTTTTTTCACTGCTGACTAACGAAAACTTGGAGACAAATAAGTGTTTGTCAAATGGTTGTTTAAATTAATTATATGAAACATACATGGCATGATCTCCTTTCATAAAAAAATCAAAACTATCTGAGAATACTACATTTATAATATTGCACATCTGTTACAGAGAGCAGAGCCCCTTGTTTATCTCGGCTGCCCAAAGACTAGCTTATACCCGAAATAATCATAGTAACTGTATTCATTTAAACACTGCCTGGTCCTTTAGTTCTAACCTCTTATTGGCTAACTCTCACATCTTGGTTCAACCCATTTCTAATAATCTGTATGTCACTATGAGGTCATGGCTTACCAGGAAAGATTCAGCATATCTGACCTGGCAGCTCCAGGGTGGCTCTCTGTCTCTGCTTTCTTTCTCCCAGAATTCAGTTCTGTCTTCTCTGACTACCTAAGTTCTGCCCTATCAAAAGGCGAAGGCAGTTTTTTTATTCATTAACCAATGAAAGCAACACATAGACAGAAGGACCTCCTACACCACACATCTTTAAAAGTTTTAATAATTTAAAAGTGTACAGAAAATATTCCATAAGATGTTCATAGCATTTATCTCTAAGAGGATCTGGTCATGCTGTTCTGTGGGCTCTCTGTTTTCCCTGCACCATTTTCTCGCTCATTTTTTAAAATAAGCAAATGTGGGAGAGGGAAACAGACTTAAACGAGTGAGGCTTCAGTGTGTGCTGTGCTCTCGGGCACGTTTAAATCTTAATCCTCAATAATTCTGTGAGGCGGGTCACAGATCATATTTTATAACAAATGCAAATGACACAGACACTTAGAGACATACAGTAATGGTGAAGAGCATATTGTACCTTGTTTCAGATGTGAGATTCAGATATGCACACTGGCCAGGTTCCTAAGAAGGCATTCCGGGCTCCACTGCTGCTGAATATTCAGGTAGTACTGTTAGCCATTACAAATAACCCAAGCAAGAAACAGTCCTTAGGCAGATAACTCAAAGCTTAAACAAGCAAAATAAACCAAAGAGCCATTTTACAGTGTTAATGTAAATGGCTTTGATTTAATATAGTAAATCTTTCTCTATCCCACCTGTGATCTCCTAAATCAGGACATGGAAACGTATTTATTACGAAAGCTCAGCCAATAGCTTAGGCTTATTTCTAACTAGCTCTTATAACTTAAATTAACCCATTTCTATTAACTTACTTTCTGCCTCAAGGCTTTATTATCTCGTCTCTGCAGTGCCCATCCTGCTTGCTCTCCAACCCTTGGCATCTCCCTCTCCTCCCTTCTTCCTGCAAAGTAAAAAGAAAGAACATCACACACACACACACACACACACACACACACACACACACACACTGAAATAAAGAATAGCATAAAATTTTTAAAAAGAAAAAAGAAATGGAAAGTCCCTGACATTATAACATAAGGAAACTCCAGGGATGCCGGTGAGTTTGTTGTCATTGGCCACCTACTGCTGAGCATGCAGCCTCTAAGAGTTTGCTTCCCCAATGAGATTCTTTTGGAGGAAACTAAAATTTCATTTGCAAGTGGTTATCAATTGGAGATTGCTTCTGGATTAGGGATGGGTACATGTGTCCCCTTCTTCTTTCAGCTCTAGGTCCCTATCTGGTACAAACCTGTGCACACTGCCTCAGTATCTATGAGTACATACATATGTATGGTGATACTAATATTTAGAGAATCTTGTTTTCTTGATGTCCTCCATCCCTTGTGGTTCTTATATTCTTTTGCCTCCCCTTCAGAGGAGGGCAGGATTTGAGGGAGACAGCCCATTTAGGGCTGAATGTTCCAAGGTCTTTTATCTCTCTGCATAACATCTGTCAATGGGTCTCTGCAGTAGTTCCCATCTGCTGCAGGAAGCAACGCTCCTGATGGCCACTGAATAAGGCCCTGATCTACAGTACAGCAGAATATCATTAGGAACATTAGCACAACACCTGTTCTATGCGCTACAGTACAGTTTGCAAGTTGGGCAAGGGCCTGGAGATTAAAACACACACACACTGAGAAAGAGAGAGAGAGAGAGAGAGAGAGAGAGAGAGAGAGAGAGATGGGTAATTCCAAGAATTCCCCAAGAATTCCCTCTTTATTGTGTTCTAGGCCAGCTTATATAGGGTCTCCTTGATTAATGGCTATGCCCTAACTCTCAGCTGCAAGCCCACCAGAAACCACTTCCCTGCCATCAGGAACTCCTGAGGGTCTTGTGCCCAGAGCAGCTGCAAAACAAGTTGTTTGCTCAGAGCAGCATCAAGCATAAAAAAACAAGTTGTTTACTCCAGCAGGCAGAGGGGGTGGTCACAGGAAATTCAGGGTTTGGGAGTCCACAGTCCCCAACACATTAGCAGAATTTTTATTAGCAAAAAAAAAATTATTGTTACATTTTTTTTAAAGAACTGTAGTATTTTGCTTTATCCTAGGTCCATGGCTTATCTAGTCTCCGGTTGTTGGTCACACAAACAGTATCTGGTATGGGTTCTATCTCGTGAAGTGGGACTTAAGTCAAATCAGACATTGGTTGGCCATTCCCACAAGTTTTGTGCCACAATTGCCCTAGCATATTTTGCAGGTTTGACAGATTATAAAACAAAGGTTACAAAATATTTGTTTGGTTTTGGCTGGATTCGTGCCTACATTTCTCTTTTGGAAACCTGGAGAGTTCTTTCCCATAACAAACATACTAGAACACAGGGGTGAAGGTTCAGTGTAAGTACCAGATCACCCTCTCCATGTTCAAAGGAATTGTATTGGTGTTGTCTTCAGCAATAGGACCTTGCTGTCAGTTTGCTGAGAGCAACCTTTTGTTTTGGCAGCAGCCTGGGTTGAGAGTTCCCATGGGACCCCTTTGGCCAATAACTCAATAGGATGTAACCCAGTCTTGATACTAGAAGCTTCATTTGGTAAAAAGTGGTGGCCAGTTGGGGATCTATCTCCCCCATTATTTGGCGATTTCATTTAGATCATCTTCATATATGTATTTGTTTTAGGAAACAACTATTGTAATGTGTTTCCGTACTAGCCCTCAAATGGCCCTTAATTTTATTTGCCCTGTATTCACTTCTTTATCCTCCTCTCTCGTATCCCTCCCCATTGGAGGATATTTGAGCAAGCTGTAAAGATGTGTTGCTGTTTTACCTTGCCTGCCTAAGGCACTTGATTGGTTTAATAAAGAGCTGTCTGACCAATAGCAGGAGAGGTTAGGTGGGACTTCTGAGCAGAAATAGAGAGAAGAGAGGCAGATTTTGACAGAGATGTAGAGGAAGGCTGACATACATTATGGAGGAAAGGTAAAGAGCCACATGACAGAATATAGGTTAATATAATTGATGAATTTAAGTTATAAGAGCTAGCTGTGAATAACCCTAAGCTAAGGCCAAGCTCTCATAATCAATACAAAGTCTCCATGTCATTATTTGGGAGCTGGTGGTCCCAAAAAGAAATTCTGACAACACTCTCCACTTGACCCTCCCATTCCCAGTCCCCTCCACCCCCATCCACCCACAATTGTCTATTCTATTTCTCTTTCCTAAGGAGATCTGTCTTTGATACCTAACCTCTGCAGTTCCATGTATTGAACCTTGGTAATCACTGACATACCTAATACCCACATATAAGTAAATAAATATTGTATTTGACTTTCTGGGTCTGGAATACCTCACTTAGGATTTTTTTTTTCTATTTCCATACATTTTTCTGTGGATTTTATGCTTTCTTTTTTTTTTTTAACAGTGAAGTAATACTCTATTGTATAAATGTGCCACATTTTCTTTATGCGATTGTCTGTTGAGAAACATTTAGCTTGTTTCCAATTCCTGGCTATTATGAATAGAGCAGCAACAGTCATGGCTGAGCAAGTGTCTCTGTGGTGAGATGAGCCATACTTTGGGAATATGTCCAAGAGTGATATAGCTGGGTTTTGAGGTAAATTGGTACCCATCTTCCTAATGACTAAGGTTGTTGAATATTTAAGTGTTTCACAGCCATTTGAGGTTTTTTTTTTTTTGTAATTCTCTCTTTATAACTATACCTCGTTTTAAAAATTGTATTATTTGTTGTTGTTCTGATATCTAGTTTTTGGAGTTATTTATATATTTTTCATATCAGCCCTCTATCAGATGTGGAGTTGGTAAATATCTTTTCCCATTCTGTAGGCTACCACTTTGTCTGAATGATGGTGTCCTTTGTCATGTAACAGGTTTTCAGTTTCACGAGGTCCCATTTACTAATTATCAGTCTTAGTGCCTGTGTTAACAGCATTCTATTCAGAAAGCCTTTTCCAATTCTAATGATTTCAAAACCATTTCCACTTTCTTTCCTATAGTATTCAGTGCATCTGGTTCTATGTTGAGGTCTTTGATCCATTTGGAGTTGAGTTTTGTGCAGGGTGATAAGTATGGATCTGTTTAGATCCTTGGAGTGAGAGGTCACAACAGGCAGTCTGCAACAGAGCTGAGACTGAGGTCCTGGTTATGGAGGATAGGAGGCAGAGTGGAGATCTGAAGCTGGCCTCCCTGCTTTGTTAGCCTACTTTCTTCCCTCGCAGGCTTGGCTGAAGGGTTCCTGGAAAATTCCTGTTGGGGTTGGGGGGATGGGATAACAGGATGAGAGGGGAGAAAGTTTGTAGAAGATGTGGTTGATCTGCCAGAAAAGGAGGCAAAGAGGAAGGGGAAGTGGCAACAGGTGGTTTACTAAGAGTTAGGGATGAGACTGAGAGATTCGATTTGGAGGTAAGGAGCTCTATCTGCACTTAGGCTACCTGTTTCCTTAGCTGGATGCTTGATGGAGTAGGGGACTGGCATAAAGAGTGCTGGAAGGAAGGCAATAGGGGAATATTTGTGTGATCTAGTGGTGGGAGCAGAGAGGAAGGGGTGCTCACCCTAGGTGGTCTGCTACAGAGGTGGGCGTGAACCTGGGGGATTGGACTTGGAGAAATGGAGGGAGAAGTGAAGATCTGAAATTAGCCTGTTTCCCTATTTTTTCCTCTGTCTCTGTCTCTCTCTGTCTCTGTCTCTCTTTAGTAGATAAGAGAAACATACAGTTCATTGTACTCTAAAGACTGAAAGTTCTGTTAATGTTTATTGATGTGGCAGTTCTCCTTTTAAGTTGTTGCTATTTTTGCTTTGTTTTATTTATTTATTTTTGTGTGTAAGGCAGGGTTGCTGTGGGATAATGCTCTTGTATTCTGTAAAGATTTGTCACTTGTATTGATTTAATAAAATGTTATTTGACCAGTAGCCAGGCAGGAGGTATAGGCATGGTGACCAGATTAGGAGAATTTTGGAAAGAGAAAAGGCTCAGTCTGCAGTCACCAGACAGACATAGAGGAAGCAAAATGAGAATGCCTTACTGACAAAAGGTACCAAACCATGTGGCTAACATAGACAAGAATTATAGGTTAATTTAAGTTGTAAGAGCTAATTAATAATAATCCTGAGTTAATATGCCAACCAGTTTACAATTAATAGAAGCCTCTGTGTTTTGTTGGGACTGAATGGTTGTGGGACCAGGCAGGACAGAAACTTCTGCCTACACAGGGCCTATGTAGGTGGCCTAATGCTTGTTACACAGTCAAAACTGGCCTTGAACTCCTGACAATCATCTTGAGTTAACTTTTTGAGTGCTGGGATTACATGCACATGCCTAAACACCTGAATGTTTTGTTCTTATTATTCAGAACTTCTTTTTGTATGTTAATTTAGTTTTTGTTTTAATTTTTGATCCTCTGACAAAATACCTGGCAGAAACACCTTGCAAGAAAAGGAACTTATTTAGGCACAAAGTTTCAGAGGATTCTATTCACCGTGGTAGAGGAGACCCGGTGATAGAAGTGGTTGAGTCTGTGTAAGGTCTTAGTCTGTGCTGGTGTGAGTATCATGCAGGTAGGGTTCTA